GTGTGCTAACGATTGGGGGTCAGGGTTGCAGGGTATACCCTTTGGTTGGTTGATGATGCATGGAGGGGATTGTAACCATGGCAATGAAATGATATAAGATAGGATGAATGTAAGACTAATGTTCTCCCATGTAAACTATCACATAATTCACAATAAAACATTTAAAAAAACAAAACAGAAACAGAAAACAAGATTATAGGATAGGCTCAGGGGTTTGTGTGTATATGTATTTTTGAACTTTCTATTGTGACCTGGGTAAACGTTTACAGAGCAAATTTGTTTTCCATTAAACAATTTATACATAAAAAAAAAAAAAAGGAAGAGAAAAAAAAGACAAAAATGGATGTCAGAACTTGCTCTCCAGCATAGAGATGCTAAAGCAAATGGAAGAAATGAGGAAATAAAGAGCTGAACAGAAAATGACAAAGGATAGGTTAAAAAGACAAAGTCAAACATTATAATGAAATGTGCAAAGACCTGGAATTTAAAGACCAAAAGGGAAGAACACACTCAGCACTGGAGACATTTCCAAATTTTAGAAATTATCTCTGAGGAACCAAGTGGTGGTGATTGTTTTTCGTGGAGTCAGTTCCAACTCAGCAACCCTGCATAGGGTTTCTGAGGCTGTAAATCTTTATGGGAGTAGGAAGCCTCATTCATCTTTCTCCCACAAAATGGCTGGTAGTTTTGAACTGTTGACTTTGAGGTTAACAGCCTGACTCATAACCACTACACTATCAGAGTTCCTTCAGGATCCAAGTTGTTGTTGTTGTTAAGTGCCATCGAGTTGGTTCTGACCCATTACAAGGAGTAAATTCTTTGGGAAACGTTCATTGTAAACCCCATAGCCATGTGATGCTGTAGTTCCAAGCCAAGGAATGCCTGTGGCTACCCGGAGCCAGGAGAGAGGCATGAGGCAGATTTCCCTCAAAGCTTTATAAGCAATCCGCACAGCTGACACCCTGACTTTGGACTCCAAAACTGTTCTTATAAAAACAACAACAAAAACCCCCCAACATTAAACCCAGTGCCATCCTGTCAACTCTGAGTCATAGAGAACCTGTAGGACAAAGTGACCTGCTCCATGGGTTTCGGAAACTGTGACTTGACAGCAGCAGACAGCTTTTGCTTTCTCCCTCAGAGGGGCTGGTGGGTTTGAACTGCTGACCTTGAGGTTATCAGCCCAGCATCAGCACACTCTTATATAGTTTTGGAGAGGCAGTCAGGGACATCTGTGCCAATCAGAATGCTCCCATTTGACCTGGACTGGCCTTAGAGAAGGCAGGTTCTATGCAAGGCCTGGCGTTGCCATGGATACCTGAAGATCCAGGCCTCCCCTCCTGTCCATGCCTGTCCAGAGAGACTTAGGGTTGAGGTCAGGGCCCAGGGTGGATGCCCTCCTGGGAGAATGTCCTTGCCCTGTGACAGCAGGAATGCCTCACACCGGGGAGCAGGTCGCTCAAATCCCTTGTCCTCTGGAAAGTTTCCAGAAACTCAGTTTTGTTCTTTCCCCTCCCTATTTCTAAGAGAACCAGGTACACCACTTCTTACCTATTTTGCTCCCTACACAAACACACACAAACACACACACACCCTGCATGTGATTTTAAAAGGATCTTTACTCAGCGGCCCAATTGTTCAGTTGAAGGCATTTTAAAGGGAGTGAAAAATGAGCAACAAGGAGCAATCCTATGGTCTGCTCTGGTGGCACAGTGGTTAAAGCACTCGGCTGCTAAACGAAAAGCCAACAGTTGAAACCTTCCAGCTGCTTCGTGGAGCCAAGATGAGGCCATCTTGTTCCCATAAAGATGACAGTCTGGGAAACCCTATTGAGCAAGTCTGCTCTGTTTTGTGGGGTCGTTATAAGTCAGAATCAGCTCAGTGGCGATTGTTTTGTTGTTGTTTAATATCCTACAGAGGAGTTCCTGGGTGATACAGGAAACTAACATGCTCAGCTGAGATCCAAGAGGTTGGGCTTGGAGTCCCCCAAGAGATGAATTAGAAGTAAGGCCCAGGGATCTACTTCAGAGAGACCAGCCATTGGAAACCCTGTGGAGAAGAGTTCTCCTCTGACATGCGTGGGGTCACTGTGAGTCAGAACGGACTTGCTAGTAATGAAATGTTCCCAAGAGACATCTTGAATTTATCAAGGCCCCAGAAAATGACAACAAAGCATTTTTGTGGCTGTTACCCATTCAGAAGGAAAAGACTCTATCTCCCGAAGTCCCATCCCACCCCAGCATCCCAGCATCCCAGCAAAAGGGATCACCCAAACCATTATTGCACATCAGCTTTTAGTACATGTACCTGTGTTACCTGGCAGGTAAGCTAGGGATTTATTGTCTCCTCTGCCTCACACACCTTTGCTTTTCTGTCTCCCCTGAAGCTTTTTCCAGATCAAAATGGACGTGCCTACAGGGAGCGGGACCTGTCTGATGGACTCGGAGGAGGACGGCGGGGCAGGCGCAGCGGGTGACCGGGAGGTCATCTGTCCCTGGGAGAGCCTGGCTGAGGGGAAAGCAGGGTGACCTGAGGCCAGCGGCCCCGAAGAAGCACCTGCCACTGCTCCTTGAGCTTCAGCAAGGCAGAATGAAATGCAGCTCGCTTCTTCTCAAACCTAAGTGCATTAACATCATGTTTGGGGGTCAGAGAGACCAACTGGGGTGGGCTACAGGGAAAGAAGCTCAGGTTGGGCCCCCCATGGCCACCCTCTTCCGTTCCTCCTGACCTCCCCTTCTTTGGGCAGAAGACTTGGGGACCAGAAGACCTTACTTGCCAATTTGAAATCGATAAAATGTTAACTTGTAAGAGTCTCTTTGAAGGCAATGATTCTGGTTTTATTACATTAAGCTCTTACCTTTGGTTTTCTGGATAAAAAGGACACGGAGTCACCCCCCAGGAACTCCTTTCCTCTTTCCCTCTCTTGACTGACACCGGGAATGCTTTTCTTCAGTGAGGCCCTCAGGAGGAGGGAAATCCAGCGTGCAGCATTCACCTAGGGTACCAGGTGTGTTTGGTTCAGATCCTCTGAGAAGCAAGGCTGAGTTACCATTAGAGGACACCCCTATGAAGTGTAAGACTGGGTGCTGGGCAGGTGGGGAGAAGGCTGAGACCTCAGCACAGTGGCCTCCAGGGAAGGAGAGAAAAGACAAACTTCTAAGTAGAGGCCTCTACGATCATTTAGATGGTCCTGTCCCTGGATGGTATAAATAACTGCTGACACACTCAGCTGTTAAATGAAAGGCTGAGGTTTAAATCTACCCAGAGGTGACCCCAAAGAAAGGCTTGGCAATCTAGTTCCGAAAAACCAACCATTGAAAGCCCTGCCGACCACAGTTCTACTTTGACACTCCTGGGGTTGCTGTGAGTCCAGTTGATCAGTAACACTTGGTTTGAGGTAGCTGTCACCTACTTTTTATCCTCAGTCTTTGGGGGCACAGCAGAACTGGAAGCAGAAAGAACCTTATTTTAACACCCCCCTCACATTTGTCCTGGAGTCCTGGTGTGGCGCTGTGGGTTAATGCTCTGGACCGCAAGGTCCGTTTGAATCACAAGGTTGGCAGTTCAAGCTCCTTGGAAACCCTATACAGGGTCACTATGGGTTGGAACCGACTCGATGGCACTTAACAATAACAACAACATTTGTCCATGCGGGAGAAAGATGAGGCTGCCTACACCTGAAAAGATATAGTTTCAGAAATCCTAAGCAATTCTTCTACTCTACACTTTAGGGTCACCATGAATTGGACCTGACCTCAGGGCAGTGGGTTTGACATTTGTCCCGGTTTAGGAAGATGGCTCTTTTCCTTCTGTAGAAAGTGTACATGACAACGAGTTTCTTCAGTGCTCCCAAGAGTGGTGTCCCTTTGTCCTCTGGGGAGGGGACTGTTGGTGGCTTCTGAAGGCTGTGAGTCCACTGAACTTGAGAGGGACAGTTATTTCCTGCTTTATTTGCTTGGGAAGAAAAGATGAGGACTCACGAAGACATTTAGAGCGGCCACTCACCCTGGAGGTGGAGGGGCACACTGACCATCTTACCTCTTCCTCATACTTCACCAGAAGAGGGAGTCCAAGGATCACAGATCCTCAAAGGGGGGGCTTCTGGACTTTTCCCTGGAGGGGTTCTGGAGGGAGGTGGTTTCTTTGAGAGAGTGCACATTGAAAAGTACCTACCTCCCTGTGTGCTTTGTGCCCCTGCGTCCACCCAGCTGGACCTGTGCTGATCTCACTGCCTAGTCTCTGTGATGTCCCCACATGTTCTCCTGACTTCTGTGCATGAGGGGGGACCATGAAAGGATATTCTATGTCCACTGGCTTTTGGTGAGAATCAAGACTCCACCCCAAACTCCTGAGATCCCCCTGTTTCCCGCCCACAGAACTCCATCCTCAAAGAGTCCCTACCTGTGTCAAGCTCTGACTCTTGGGAGTAGAAACTGATAAAGCTTCATTCATCTTTCCTTCCTGGGTCAAAGAGGTTCGTCAGTTCCTCTGATGAGGAGGTGGGGCTGAGGGCCTGGGGCTTTGGAGAGGCAGAGTGTCAGGGTGGGGGTCTACACAGGAATAATGGAATCAGTAAAATTGCTTTTCAGTTTCTCAGCTGACCGGAGGGACCTGGTCATGGCCATGTGACGGGGGATTGAGAGAGGAGCAAATTCATTTTCTTCTAGATAGAACTGAACAAGAACATTCAAACCCTTAGGAATTGAAGGCGCTGGGGTCTGAGCAGCATGTATAAGGAGACTATCTGTGTGCATACAGGTGTGTGTGTGTGTGTGTGTTGACACACACTCTGATCTCTGTGTGTGGAATGTGTGGGGCTTGCATGGAACGCGATGGGCCTGGTACTGACTAGTCAGGAGGGAGGCACATGCTAATATATCAGTAGGAGTCTCTAGATGGTGCAAACATTAAGCTCTTGACCACCAGCTGAAAGATTCGTAGTTTAAACCCATCCAAAGAACCCTTGGAAGACAGACCTGGCGAGCTGCTTTGTGAAGGTCACAGCCATGAACGCCTTATGGAGCAGTTCTATTCTGCACACACGGGGTCACCAAGAGACGGAATGGGCTCAATGACAACTCAACCCCCCAGCAATACAGCAGTGGCTCAGAAGTGAACTTGGAGACCACAATACTTGCATGTGGAAAACCATCAGAAGATCTATGTTAAGGTCTCCCTGCACTAAGGTTCAATGGACACAGTCAAGGGCAAGTTTGGGACTGGTCTTGGACAGAATGATAACATCTTTATTATAGAACTTTTATTAAACAAAAACAAAAACCTTGCTCACAACCCATATTCCAAACAACTTTTGTCATTTCCAACTCACCAATCCTTAAGCGTGGCACTTGGGTTAATGCTCTGGACTGCAAAGTTGGTTTGAATTGCAAGGTCAGTGGTCCAAACTCACCAGCTACTCCTTGGACACCCTATACAGGGTCACTATGGGTCGGAGCTGACTCAACAACAACAACAACAACAACAATCCATAAGTAGGTACCAAATTGCCTTGTCCTGAAGGACCGGATACTGGGGTGTTGTGTATTCCAGTAATCATGTCTGCCATAGATGCGTTTAAAAACGTCTTCACTGCACACAAAACACTCTCCTCAGTGCCTGCATTTCACTCTCAGTCCTCGTGGGGTGCCATATAGGATAAGCACTCTACCTAAAGGTCAGTTTGAACTGCAAGGTCGGTGGTTCAAACTCACCAGTCACACCTAGGAGACCCTATACTGGATCGCTATGTGTCAGAACCGACTTGATGGCACTTACCAACAACAACATAGATGTGCTGGTGTGGTGCTGCAGGATAATACACAACCACAAAGTCGGTTTGAACTTCAAGGTTGGCAGTTCCAACCTCACCAGCCGCTCCTTGGAAACCCTGTACAGGGTCACTATGAGTTGGAACCAACTCTACAGTGCACAACAACAATAACATAGCACTACAGCACTTAACAACAACAACAACAGAGTGTGTTGTAAGAACCCTGGTGGCACAGTGGTTAAGCACTCAGCTGCTAACTGAAAGGTAGATAATTCAAGCCCACTAACCACTTCACAAGGAGCTCTGGTAGTGTAGTGGTTATGAATCAGGCTGCGAACCTTAAGGTCAGCAGTTTGAAACTACCAGCTGTTCCGCAGAAGAAAGATGAGGCGTTCTGCTCCTGTAAAGATTTACAGCCTCGGAAACCCTGTACAGGGTCACTATGAGTCGGAACCGACTCGACGGCACACAACAATGACAACTGACTCGACGGTACAACAACAACCAGTCCACAGGAGAAAGATGGCAGCAGTCTGCTTCTGGAGAGATTTCTGCCTTGGAAATTTGATGCTGTTCTTGTTAAAGTGCCGTTGAGTCAGTTCCAACCCAGGAACTCCGTCCAGGAAATTCTACAGGGCAGTTCTATTTTGTCCTTAGGCCACTGTGAGTGGGAATCGACTCACACAATGGGTGTGTGTGGCTTGGTTTTACAGTACTGTAGGGAGGTAGAATGTGTGAGTGGGAGCACGCCTCTCTCCATTTTGTCCTTATAAATGTAGAATGTTCCAGTAGCTCTCCTGGTCCCAAGTTGAATGCACTTTATTTTTTTTTTATGTTGTTGTTGTTAGATGCCATCAAGTCAGTACCGACTCATAGCGATCCTATGCAACAGAATGAAACACTGCCCAGTCCTGGGCCAACCTCACAATTATTGCCACGCTTGAACCCACTGTTGCTGCCACTTGGCTAATCCATTTCGCTGGGGGTCTTCCTCTTTTTCTCTGACCCTCCACCTTACCAAACATGATATCCTTCTCCAGCAACTGGTGCCTCCTGACACTATGTCCGAAGTATGAGAGATGAAGTTTGGCCATCCTGGCCTCCAGGGGGCGCTCTGGCTGTACCCAAAGAATAAAGAACAAACAGATTTACAGTCTAGGAAACCCTATGTAGGGTCACTGTGAGTTGGAATTGATTTGATGGCAGTGGGGTTTTGAGTAATTACTTCTAATGCTTTTGTTTGTTTCTTCTTCCTCTTTTTTTAAAAAAGATAATGTTTTGCTGTAATTGCTCCTAAGGAACTCTGGTGGTGCTGTAGGATAAGCACTGGACTGCTAACTGTAAGATCGCAGTTCAAACCCACCAGCCGCTCTGAGGGACAAAGATGAGGCTGTTTGCTTCTGTGATTTACAGTCTCTGAAACCCTAGGGAACAGACAGCTCTACTCTATCTTACACAGTCTCTATGAGTCCCAGTCGACTAGAAGGCAGCAAGGTTATTGTGGGGTGGTTTTATTTTTGAGTGTTGCAGTTTTGGCTTTGAGGTTTCTGGAACCCCCAGTCGTTCCTTAATAATGCAGTCTGTCTCTGGTGACACTAGGGAGACCCCATTGGTCTCTGATTCGAGCCTCAGGATGTCAGTATGGGGTTGGGCCATCATGACCCCTGCAAGTGGCTCAGGCCCTTCAGGCATACCCTGGTCCCTCCTTGTGGGGCATCCTGCCTTGAGATGCGGGCTCCAGAGATGTGGAAATAGAAA